AAAATTGGCAAACGGGAACTCACCTTGTAGCCCGACGGAGACGAAGAAGCTTCAAGAAAAATGGTTTGCCCGCACACAGAAGAAACTAGGGTTCATCGGGGATCATCGATTTTACTATGGCTTGCACTTGTAAAATTCAGCAAATTAAGGGGTATATTGGGCATTTTACAGCGAAATCTGAGGGCAAAATAGGTATGATGGACGTGGGATTATTATATCACAGGGGGGGCGGGACGAAATTAATCGGCAAATGGCGGACTCACATATTTTCGCATCCTCCACATGGGCGCCACGTCAGGTATATCCAATCCCATTCCCTTGAAGTAAACGTAAGAAATCCCAGGATTAATTTGCTTATCTTATCCTGTCCCTCAAAGTAAACGACCCCACAATATTTATAACTTATTCATAGTAAAACAAAAAAATATCAAGAAATAGCTAGTCGGTTAACATAATAGCTAGACACCCCAGCACTCTTGCGCATAGCGCGCCCCGGCAACCCAACGGATGTCTCGCCCTGGAGATGTGCATTCACGTCCGTGTCCCAAGAGATGTGCTTTCGTGTCCTAGGCAATGCACGTCTATGTTCTAAGCGAAGTAAGCGATGTGTGTCCGCCCTACGACGCAGTATGCACAGGCCTGGCCCAGCGATGCAATGTATCGCCCAACGCAGCCCAACAAGCAGTAGCGACACTCGTGCGAGGTCCAGCAGGCGCAATATCCGTCCGAGGCCCAGTAGACGAGACCCTGTGCATGGTCCAATCCAATGCGCGGTCGAGCCACATGGTCCAACGCGACTATGTGCATGGTCTAGTCCAATGCATGGTCCTAGGCAATGCGCGTATGCATCCGGCGCGAGTACCAAGTGACCGAGAGATGTCAAAGGGACCAAACGACTCGACGAGGCTTTGATGATCTCCATCAACGGAAATAAAAAATGTCTCAATGTCGACAAAAATGGTAAATTGTAAGTCCTAATCTTAACTATAGATTCTGATGCATTAGCGTTTATTTTTAGTAGATCTAGATATGTATATCGACAATGTTCATCATAAAACCGAACATACAGAGCGACGTACTCACTCAAAAACTCATTTTCACGATGTTGCATGTTGATGAACATAAGGTAGGTCTTTTCATGTTACATTCCACTAGAGAATTGGTTGATCGATGTTGCATGTTGATGAACATAAGGTAGGTCTTTTCATGTTACATTCCACTAGAGAATTGGTTGATGCAAAGTGAGGTAAACACGTCAAAGTTATATATAGATCTACCAAGCAGGTAGTTGGTGAAACCAATCCTAAGCCAAGCCCTTCAACGTTGTTAAAAAAGCTCTGCAACAAACAACATCATAGCATAGATATAAAATCGAGACTTTCTCAAAGATCCTCAGGTTCCTAGTCGGATCCGTAGACCCTTCATGGACCATGCTTGGTTCCTAGAAGTTAAGAGCTATATGCGTCCAAAACATCATCGGAGAAAGGATGGCCTTGAACTCGTGGTTATCGTCTCCGCTCCACCTTGGCCTAGAACTCTCTTATTTGATTGGCCATATGCTCTAAGGTGACATCTCCGGTGGTCTATTGACCATCAGAGACACAATGGACATCTCCTCACTCTTCTCGCTTAGAGGTCACCAGAACGTGTTGCTCCACAATGGGATTCAGTTGTTGCACCATTCACAGCCGCAACAGGTTGCTCCACCGTCAGATGAGGTTGAGAAATCCTTGACCAACCAATTGCCTCAGGGATAATCCGGTCCAGCTTCCCTCTAGTGAGGTGTATCACTTGCTCACCTCCCCTTGAGGAGCTCCTCTCTCACCCGCCGGGATGACCACCTGTTTCCCTTTCACCTGGTTTGAGTTCTCCCCATCTACCTCCAGCGTCGAGACCTGATTAACCCCTGACAAACTGATCCAAGGAGTAACCAACGTTCCTTCCCCGCTAGACCATCCCGATGGCGGCCCGACTCCAAAAGGTGTTTTAGCCACCCACACTTCCTACAAACTCTCATCAAGGTTCTTTCTCCAGTTTTCATTTGCCATAGTCGCCTTCTCCATCTTAGGTCTCTCTGAAATTGGTAGAGAAATAGTAATGTTCCCACATAAGGCACCAATTGATGTTCTGTCGCACATCGAACCGCCTCTCCTTCGTCTTCACACCAATTTACTCCTCAAAGACCTACACAATACACCAGAAGATGTTCCGGTGTAAAACCTCTGATGATCAAGTTAGTGAAGAGTTATGAAAAGTTGTCTGTAATTATATTGTAAAGTTTAGAGTTTAACCTTCTACATTTCATACCCCTTACCTATTTAAATCAAATCCTTGGCTTCTTACACAAACTTTGCCTTACCCGGTTTTCCGTAAGCCTGCCCGAGACCCATTCTTATCTGTAGGATCATTTAGATCTTTCCACTATAGCCCTACACGTGTTCCTTGTTAATCCTCCCCTCATATGTTTTCCTGCTTTCTTAGCTCCTACAAGCCCTCCTCTAAGCCAAGTCTCCCTAACTCGGTGTATATCACATAAGTCCCCTGGCCTATTAAACATAGTTCTGCCTTTTTGCACATTTTGTCCTAGTTGTTACACTGTGCGACCTGTTGAGATACTAACACCGCTCTACCTTAACTATTATATGTTCGAGCTACTTTCGTACTATATTTGTCCTACCTACTATCATAATACGTTGTCTGAGCTACTGACACTATGATATCCGAACTACTACACTATGGTGTACAAGCTATTTAGAATCAGTTCATGCAAGCTAGCTCAAACCCCCTAACTCGAGCTATTTTATGACTGACTAACTCGAGTTACTTGTAGCTGGCTTATCCGAGCTACTCTATGTTATATAACATTTGAATAGTAGTTGAAACAAGGGTATCTAGGCCGTGGATTTTATACTTGAAACTCGTATCTTTATATTCCTAGTCACAAATAAATAATCAACAACTTCAAAAGAATGGCAATTCATCCTTGGTTAAATCCGTGGGGTCAATTGGATCAATGTTGATTGCGTCCAAAAACGGTTCAAATACCCCCAAAAACCCATTGTTGCACCTGGAGTTGACCTGACCTTACAAGTGCCGAATTTTAATAATCAATGGATTTGGACAACAACAAAATAAAATATAAAAAAAAAAGATGCGACAGTCGTTACGGAACCATTCCGTCGGAGTTTGTAACCGTTAGATCAACTATCCACGACAGTTAAATAATAATCTAATAGTTATAAACTTTAACGAAATGGTTCCGTAATGAGACCGCATCATTTCTAAAAAAAAAAAAAGCACCTATTTCTAATTTTGAACAGCTCCACCACCACCACCTGTCCACAGCAAATTCTTATTTGAAAAATCAACCTGAAAAGAAATATAACAAATAAATAACTGCAATCATTCATAAATAAATGAAGCAATGCACGACATCGAACATAAGCCAAAGAAAGCGACAAAAAAAAAACAAAAAATTGAGTATTGATTTACAATGCCACAACACAATATATTCATTTGCCCCACACAAGACAAGCCCATTAACAATATCTAATCTCCCAATGGATAATCTTCTTCATATTCTTCTTCTTCATGCCTCTTTCCTTCTCATCCAACTCGCGGCCGCCCAGAGCCAGTCCCTGGACGGCGGCAGCAGCAGCAGCAGCAACTTCCAGCCGAGCCTAGCGGTCGTCATCGGCATGCTGGCCGTCATGTTCTCTCTCACCTTTGTCCTCCTCCTCTACGCCAAGTTCTGCCACCGCCCATCTAACTCCTCCACCGACCGCACCCAGCCCGACCCGACCCGCGCCATCTCGGACGAGAATGGGGTCGACAAAACCGTAATCGAGTCCCTCCCCTTCTTCCCGTTCTCAACCCTCGGGGGCCTCAAGCAGGGGCTCGACTGCTCCATCTGCCTGTCCAGGTTCACCGAACCCGATATCCTTCGCCTGCTCCCTGGCTGCCGACACGCGTTCCACATGGACTGCATCGACCGCTGGCTCCACTCCCACTCCACCTGCCCGCTCTGCCGCCGCCATGTCAGTGCCGATGATTTGGCGCTCTGCGGCGCCGACACTCTGGAGCTTTATGTCGAGAGGGAGGCTGATCAGAATCGGAGCCGCCGCCTCTCGTCGAGGTTTAGCTCGATTGGGAGAAGCTTCCGGAAGCTTTTCGACCGGCAAGAAGAAGTAGAAGAAGAGGATGAGGAGAAGCAGATAGGGATTAATCATCATAAGTTTAACCATAGGATTAGTTTTAACTTGATGATGAGGAGCCGGTGGAGCAACGTCTCGTCTTCGGACCTCGTCTTCCTTAATGACGTGGAGAAGAAAATCGAGTTCGAGAATGATTGTTGTTGTGATAAAGCTGGATTAGTTACGACATCTTCTTCTTCTTCGATTTTTAACAACGGGGAAAAGAGGTCGATTTCGGAGATTGTAATTCATCCGAGAAGGCTAATGAACGAGATCATAAGTAGTAGCAGTAGTAGTGGTGGTAATGGTAATAACGATAACAACTCATCATCTAGTGTGAATGAGGAAAAAATGAGGAAACTGTGGATGCCGATCGCTACAAAGACCGCGCGGTGGTTCGTAAATCGAGATAAACGGTCGACTGAAAACGTCGACCTACCGGCGGGTTAATTTAATTTTAGAGTTTTTTATTTTGTCGGTTCAATTTTGCTTTTGCAGCTGATTTGTACTTGTTCAGATCAGGAGAGGGATTGAAGAATTATGCATGTTTGTGTTAAGTTGTGTAGATGTATATGTAATGTAATCTTCCACTTCTATCCTATACATAAATCTTTTGCTTCAGATGATTACTCACAGAACAAAATTCAAATGAAAATGAATAAATATGTTTTTTTATTTTTTGAGTGATAAAATTTAGTCTAGTTAAATTAAATAGGTTAAAATAAATGATAAATATTTTTCAACGCAAACATTCTATAATTAATTTACTAAACGTCGACTTGAATTTAAACTACTTTCTGTAAAATAATATTGAAATTAATATGGAATATATCCATATTTGGTCGTGGTAAAGGAAATTTTTATTTATTATTTGTGCTTGACTTTTATGATGAATGAATTATTTAAACTTGATATACTTTAGTTTCATGTCCCATGTATTATTATTTATTCATCATGACTAGTATGTGAATCATTTTTTTTTTTTTTGGGTACAAAGAAGAGAGGCCAGCTAGGCCTAGCCTAAGTAAAAATTCGCCGAGAATAAGACACCCCGACCAAATCATGATGTAATCACATGAACGCGCCCCGGTGGAGGACTCTCCAACCTCTGAAGGCCACTCGGACTCTTGGCTGTCGAGGACGCCAAGTAATCCGTACAAAATTGGTTTCCTTGTAACCATGAACGATCTCCACCATCCATGAACGACTCAGGACTTCCTGAATTCCCTTCAGAACACTTCCATGCTGTAAACACATTTATTTTATATGTGGTTAATTGAATTTCATATTTATATTTTTTCTAAATAGTAGTTTCTATAGAGAGAGAGAGAGAGAGAGAGAGAG